AATCTGAAGCAGGCTCCAGGCTCTGAGCTGCCCGCACAGAGTGTGACGTAGGGCTTGAACCCACGAACTGTGAGATCATGATCTGAGCCAAAGTCAGAGGCTTAACCGACTGAGCCACCCAGGTGCCCCGGGAATAGATTTTTCTAATCTTTCCTGTGTTTTACATTCTTTTCTACCTATGCATAATAAAAATAATCTCTGTTTTCTTCTTAAAGTTTTTCTTTTCGGGGCACTTGGCTGGCTCGGTCGATTAAGCGTCCAACTTCAGCCTAGGTCGTGATCTTACGATGCATGAATTCAAGCTCCGCATCAGGCTCTGTGCTGACAGCTCAGAGCCTGGGGCCTGCCTCAGATTCTGTGTCACCCTTTCTCTCTGCCCCTCCCCTGCTCATGCTCTATCTCTCTCTCAAAAATAAATAAACATTTAAAAAAAAATTTTTTTATGTTTTTCTTTTCATATCCCTGTTTTAAATCTACCTGGAAATTAGCATGGTTATTCTGTAAGAGAGGCATGCTACTGGATTCTCTTGAGCAAGAGCAATGGTCATTTCCAGGGGGGGCTCTGAGAAATGCTAGGCTCTTCCTGTGGGCCTCAGGCAGTCTGTGCTCCTCTCTGTTATGCGTGCTTAGGTAGTTTTCTCTGGAAACCCATGGCCTTTTCAAAAAATAGATACTAGGAGAGTAGGAATTTTCATCTCTAGAAACCTAGAAGAGTCCAAAATGCCCTAGCGATTGAATGACAGAGTTTTGACTAGCCACCATTACTGCATAGAATTACACTTTCCTTAATGTAGCTTCCTCATCAGTTTTTTAAGTTAAGGTTTTTTGTTTTTTTTTTTTTAAGTTTATTTAGAGAGAGAGAAAGCATGAGCAATAGGGGAGGGGCAGACAGAGAGAGGGAATCCCAGGCAGGCTCTTTGTTATCAGTGTGGAGCCCAACATGGGGCTCGATCTCATGAAGCGCAAAATGACCTGAGCCAAAATCAAGAGTCAGCCACTTCACCGACTGAGCCACCCAGGGACCCCAAGTTTTTGTAGAGCAGTTTAAGGTTCACAACAGAATTGAGGGGCAGTAGATTTCCCATATACCTCCGTGCCCCTACAAAGGCAGAGCCCCTCCCCCATTAGCAGTATCCTGCCCCAAATTGGTACATTGGTTACAATTGCTGAACCTGCATTGACACACCCTCATCCTCAGAGTCTGTAAGCACATACTTGGTGTGGGTTCGAACAAGTGTATAATGATGTGTATCCACCGTTAAGGCGTCACACGGAGTAGTTTCTTGGCCCTCAAAGTCCTCTGTCCCCCCCTCTTCATCCCATGTGTACCTTCACCCCCAATTCTTGGCAACAACCACTGGGCTTTTTTTTTTACTCTCTCTACATTTTCACCTTTTCTAGAATGTCACTTGGTTGTAATCAAACAGAAGCTTTTTCAGATTGGCTTCTGTCACTTAGTCATAGGCATTTAAGGTTCCTTCATGTCTTTTCATGACTTGTAGCTCATTTCTGTTTAGCACTGAATAATATTCCATTGCCTCTATTACTATAGTTTACTCATTCAGCTACTAAAGGACATCTTGGTTTGCTTCCAAGTTTGAGCAGTTATGAATAAACCTGTTAGAAACATGTGTGTAGGTTTTTGCGTGCATGTGTTTTCAACTCCTTTGGGTGCTGCCCAGGAGCACTATTGCTGGGTTGTATGGTAAGAGTATGTTTAGTTTTATAGGAAACCACCTTCCAAAGTGGCTGTACCGGTTTGCATTCCCACCAGCAATGAGGGAGACTTCCTGTTGCTCCACGTCCTCACTGACATTTCGTGTTGTCGTGGTCCGGATTTGGGCTGTTCTCATAGATGTGTAGTGATAGCTCATTGTTTTAATTTGATTTCCCTGGTGACATGTAACGTGGAGCGTCTTTACATATGTTCATTTGTCATCTGTGTATCTTCCTTCATGAGGTGTCTGTACAGTCTTTGGCCCATTGTTAAGTTGGGTATTCGCTTTTTTTGTTGTTGAGTTTTAAGAGTTATGTATATGTTTTGAATTACAGACCTTCGTCAGGTATGTCTTTTGCAAATATTTTTCTCCCAGTGTGTAGCTCAGCTTCTCATTCCCTTGATACTGTCTTTAGCAGAGCAGAGGTTTTTCATTTTAATGACGTCCAGCTCATCACGGACTTCTTTCATGGATCACGTCCTTGGTGTTATGTATAAAAAAAAAATCATCACCATACCCAAGGTCATCTCGGGTTTCTCCTGTGCTATCTTCTAGAAGTTTTGTAGTTGTGTTTTACGATTGGGTCAGTGATCCGTTACGAACTTTTGTGAAGGGTGGAAGGTCTGTGTCTAGATTCGTTTTCCTTGCGTGTGGATGTCCATCTGTTCCACCACCACTTTTTGAGAAGACGGTCTTCGCTCCCCTGTATTTCCTTTGCTCATTTGTGAAAGATCAGTTTACTCTATTTGTGGGGGTCTGTTTCTGGGCTCGTTCTGCTTCATTGATCTGTTTGTCTCTTCTTTTACCAGTACTACCCTGTCTTGATTACTGAGTCTTGATAATAAATTTCGAGGTGGGGCACCTGGGTAGCTTAGTCAGTTGAGAGTCCAACTCTTGATTTCGGCTCAGGTCATGATCCCAGGGTTGTGAGATCAAGCTCCATGTCAGGCTCCATGCTGAGCGTGGAGCCTGCTTAAGATTCTCTCTCTCTCTCTCTCTCTCTCTCTCTCTCTCTGTCCCCCCCTCCCTCTCCCTCTCCCTCCCTGCTCCCCCTCTCTCCCTCCCTCCCTTCCTCTGCCCCCTCATGCATTTTCTCTCTCAAATAAATTAATTTCAAAAAATAAATCTAAAAAATACATTTTGAAATAAGGTGATGTCAATCCCCAGCTTTGCTCTTTCAATAATGTGCTGACAATTCTGGGATTTTGCTTCTGCATATAAACGTTAGAAGCAGTCTGTCATTGCCTCACCATTTTTTGAGAGTAATATTTCCATTAAGTTATTCCAAGTAAAACATTGATGTCTTCTGCAAACTTTTATACTGTTGTCAGTATTCTAATCACATGACCATGAAATCAATAGTGTCTCTCATTGATGAGTTTATCTTCTCTTGTTGATTATTCTCCTGTCCGTAGCAAAGTACAGGGGCAGTCGGAGAAAGCAGCGTCAGGGCCGTAAGGGGTCCCGCATCGTTCCCGCTTGATGTCATTATGAAAGGCTTTCTGAGAGGGGTGGGTGTGGCAGGTGTAGCCAGCCTTGTCCTGATGTAAGATGGACCCTCGGAGTGGTAGCGGCGGTGACAGCAGACTGTTCCCCCGCTGCCACCTTTGGTGGGTGTGTGGCTCTATTCTAAACTGCCGCAACAAGTGAGAGTTTACATGCCCTTCTGGGCCTCAGCCATTTCCCAGGCACCCCGTTGCCAGCAGCAGCAGCAGGTAGCAGCGTCGGAAGGAAATCGCTGGAACTCTACACCAGCACTGTTCCATAGCACCTGTCGGGGCAGCAGGAAACGGAAATGCCCCCTCCTTTCCACCTCACCATCTAACCCCTGTCCATCCTGTGGGATGCCTTCAGAGAGGCATCTGAAACTTTGATTTCTGTCATCTATAAAGTGAGAAAAATAATACCTGTGGGGCAAGGTCTTACAAAGATTAAATGAGATGAAACATGCCTAGCATCGTCCCTGGGCAATCAGGAAAGTCAGTATCCTTCCAAATAATTGGCATGCCGGAGAATGGAAGGAAGGGACAGGCAGGTTTTTACCAAGATACTGATGTTTAAATTTGGTTTCATCTCCTACAGCCTCACTAACATCCAGAGAAATTAAAAATACAACAATACCGGGCACCTGGCTGGCTCCGTTGGTGGAGCATGCAACTCTTGGTCTCAGGGTCATGAGTTTGAGCCCCATGTTGTGTGTAGAGCTTACTTAAAATAAACAGAAAACAATATAGCAATATCGAGTTACCATTTTTTGCCTGTTGAATAAGCAAGATTTTACTGATAGTTTTCAGTGCTGATGAGGGTGTAGTCAACACTCCTGGCAGATACATAAATAGGTACACATTCCATTCAAAAAGCAGTTCAAGATATGCATCAAGAACCTTAAAATGACCTTTGATCTGTCCCAAAGGCTCTCCGAAGGAAATGCCTTTGATAGACCTAGAATTAACGCTATTCACCATGGCATTCATTGTTTATAATAAAAATCTAGAAACAAATTACAGGGGAATGTTTAGATATTTTAAAGTTACACACACACGCACTATAGAGTATGTATAGCCATTAAAAAAAATCATGAATTGGGGGACACCGGAGTGGTTCAGTCAGGTAAGCTTCTGACTCTGGATTTCGGCTCAGGTCATGATATCATGGTTCGTGAGATTGAGCCCCACGTCTGGCTCTGCTCTGACAGTGAGTAGCCTGCTTGGGATTCTCTCTCTCTCTCCCTCTCTCTGCCCCTCCCCTGCTCACAAGTACACATGCATGCTCTCTCTCTCTGTCTCAAAATAAATATTTTTTAAATCATTATTTTTTTAAGACTGCCAAGTTGAAAAAATAAAATACAAAAAACTTCATATATTAACTGGGAAAACCAGGTTATAAAACTGTATATCTAGTATGATTCTAATTTACTTTTTTAAATAACATCCATTTATTATTTCTTTTTTTTGTTGTTGTTAATGTTTATTTATTCTTAAGAGACAGAGCATGAGCAGGGGAGGGACAGAGAGAGGGAGACACAGAATCTGAAGCAGGCTCCAGGCTCCAAGCTGTCAGCATAGAGCCTGACATGGGGCTTGAACCCATGAACTGTGTGAGATCATGACCTGAGCTGAAGTCAGGCACTCAACCGACAGAGCCATCCAGGGGCCCCTCATTTATTATTTCTGAGAGAGAGCATAAGTGGGGGAGGGACAGAAAGAGGGGGAGATACAGAATCCGAACCCGGCTCCAGGCTCTGAGTAGAGTAAGTAGTAATATTCTGCTTCATTCCCACAGCTGCTGCTGGACACTCATTCCTTGAAGATGGTCCTGCTCGATCTGCCTTCCATTGGCTCACAGGTGGTGAGGAAAGCACCTGCCAGTTACACTAAAATTGTTGTGAAAGGCATGACCCGGGCAGAAATGATTCTCAAGGTAGGTCTTGTGTCTCCCTCAGGGTTTCCAGGAAAAGGGGCTGGTTATCCAATGGTTTATTCCAAGGACTGTACTGGTTTTGAAAGTACAGATTAGGGCTGTCCCCATCAGTCCCAAAGGATTGTCTGCATTCTTTGGCTGGGCCAGATTTGGGCCTCATCAGAGATCGTTGGAGGCCAGTGGACAGTTACTCAGGGGATCAGTAATTCTTTCTGACAAATGAATTTTTCGTTGTAATGGGATTCTCTTATAGTAGGATTTGGCCAAGATTGGAAATTCGGTGGGGTTGTCTCTGAATCAGTGTCTAAGTCAAGGATCTCTTTACTTCTCAGCAGGAATTTAGCCCAGCTATCAGTTTCTCCCTTTCCCATATAAACCTCTGTAGCTTTCTAGACCCTGCAACTTTCCAGGAACTCCAAACAGATGTTGTAGTAACTGAATCTAATCAGCAAATAGGGTCTAAGCCCCATTTAACAGACTGTTCTCTGTGGGGTGATGATGTGGAGAATGTCTGAAGCCTTGAGCACCTACATCTGATTGTCCCCTGCACTTGTTGAGAAGAGAGGGGGTCCTGCTTGGGGGAGGGGAGAGGCTGCAGAACAAATGGAACTGTAGTGAAATGTTCCTAAGAGTCCCGGGCCTGCAGGCTCGTCAGGCCTGTCTCCCAACCAGAACGGCTTCAACGATGGCCAAGAGTGAAAAGCAGCTATGTACGCACGCCCTGCATGCACCTTGAGCCCAGGCCTAACCTGTTTCTTCCCCCAGCTGGCTTCCTCTCCGGGCAGGGGAGTGATCTGCAGGGAGTCTCTGAGTGAATTACTGCCTGTCACCGCGTGCTCCATTCTCTGGAGTTCCTGCATTCCGAAACCAAAGCGGAATGAATCTGAGGATTGTGATGCCATTAGTTTCCTTCTGTTTGTAGATTGACAGTTTAAGTGAATGTAGTTAAATGAAGTTCAGATTTTAGGCCTTGAAAGGCAACCTTAGCATTGTTGTCCTCGAGAAAGTCCACTTAGATCTGTGGGTTTTGCAAGCCGTTCCTCAGGGATGAAGACGCGCTGGGACAGCAGGAACAGGTGTCACGAACCCCCATGTCAAACAGGAGGTTCTCTCTCCAGCACAGTTTTACAAATGGTCCCGATATTTAAAAACCACACGGGAGGACCCCACCCCCGGCCTTCTGAGTTCAGATCTTCAGGGGAGGCACCTAGAAATCTGTATTTAAAGAACAATCCAGGTGATATATTTATGCTTTAGTAAGTTTACGAATCGTTGCTGTAATTGAACGCTGAGATGAACTAGGCCATCGGGGCATGGCGAGTTTAGGCTTGCTGCCATTTAAGGAAGTCTTGCGGAATGCATTTTGTGTCAGCTCGCAAGTAAGGAAAAGTGGTCCCCTGCATCCCAGTCGCCAGTCTTCTGCAGGCCCACTCGTGCCTCCCTCCCTTGCAGGTGGTGATGGCCCCTCACGAACCGCTGGTGGTGTTCGTTGACAACTATATCAAACTCCTTACGGACTGCAACACAGAAACCTTCCAGAAGATACTGGACATGAAGGTTAGCTCGCTCTCTGGTTTTCTCCATACTTGCATATCCTCACCCTCAGTGGTTCCTAACTGGGCTGCAGATACGGGCTCATGGGGCGCTTTCTCAGAGTGCATGCTGCAAACCAGATTCTAAGACCTCTTCTGAGGAGAAGGACCCCAGACAAAATAGCTTCCTGACCAACCCTGCTCGTACCTCCCAGCCCCACGGAGAACCGCTGCTCCGCGGAGGCTGGGGCCGGAAGGAGTGGACTGGAGAGGAGTTATCCCTACCCTGTCCCTTCTCTCTCCACCCCTTCGTTCTCTCCTTTCCTTTCTCCTGTTTTTCTTGCCCCTGCTTTCCTCCGAGGCTCCTGCCCACGGCCGGCAGCTCCCCTGAAGAAAGCGTTCAGCCTCAGCCTAGAGCAGTTAGGCTGTTAGCACAGCCGGGCTGCACTCTCCCCCGGAGACTTTCTGGACCAAGGTCCTGATTACCCTCCTTTCTCTCCCACCCTCAGGGCCTGAAGAGAAGCGAGCAGAGCAGCATGCTGGAGCTCCTGCGCCAGAGGCTCCCCACGCCGCCGTCAGGCCCGGAGGGCTCGGGCTCCCTGTCCCTGCTGGCTCCGACGCCGGAGCAGGAATCCTCGCGCATCCGCAAACTGGAGAAACTGATTAAAAAGAGACTGTAGGACGTGCATGGGGCCCTTTGCCCCCTGGCCAGTGCCCCCGAGCACCCAGCTGCCTAGAAACCCCCCACCTCCCCTGCGCTCCCCTTGACTCAGAGCAGCAATCCTGAAACCTCCTGGGACATTTGTGTAGTTGATGTGTCTTCCCCATGACCTGTCTTAATTCTCGTTCTAATCAAAGAGCCAAACAAGGGCAGGGTGATAAGAAGGCTTCTGAGTCGGTCTCTGATTCTCACCTACGGCAGAGGCAGCGGCAGGTGAGAGGGCCCTGCGATTCACTTGTCTTTCTGGGCTGCTCTCACTCGCTTTGCAGCCTCACGTCTGCAGCTGCTCCCTGAGGGCCGTGCTCCCTGTTGGGCGGCCTGGCGCCGGCGCCGGAGCTCATGCAGCCGCACATCACGGCTGCGGGACGTTAGCATCGCCTTATGCAGCCGATGGAAACAGGTGCACTCTTCCTTCTGGATCCTTCTCCTGGTATGTACTGCCGTGACTAGGCCAGGTTATCTCCGTAATCTGCAGGCCCGTCTGTGTGTGTCACGGGAGAGATGCCTCCCATACGTCTCACCCAGGGAGGCCGTATGCGCCAGGCCTCAGGAGCAGGTGCCCCTATGTCGTGGGGCTCCTTGCCTGGCTGTGGGGGTGCACCCGTATCCGCCCTGGAGAGAAGGCTCCGTGTGCCGTGGCCAGATTCTTCTCTCCATCTCTTCATTCCCACTCTAGGCCTGACTTCTAGTGGAGGGATTGCCTTCTGTGAAGAGAAACTAGGAGGTTTTCCTAGAAAACTTGTCCTAGGCTTTCTCCTCAGATGAAGCTGTGGGACGGCGCAGGAGGCCTGGACCCTCTCATCCCCTGCCTGGCCATTTGTTTCAAACCCACATCACTTTCCAGAATGATCTGAAACAACAGAGGTGATGTGAGGTGCCAGAGCGACATACGTTAGGAACACAATGTCGACCTTAAACACCTGCTCAGAGCCTGCTCCGGCCCAGAACACAGGCTGACCCTCCGGCCTGGGCCCTGGCTCTCAGCCAGCTCGGCTTTGCAGAAGAGAGCCATTCCCTAGAGCTGCCCAGTCCCCACGTCGTCCTGCGGCGCAACAACGGGCAGCATGCCAGGTGGCCGCCCCGATTTGCCTGCTTCGCCGGAAACCAAGCCTCAATTAACCGTGACCGCAGCCTCCGGGCAGCCGCTGTTGGTGCCAGCGTTGTCCGGGAATTCTGGACCCTGTGTTGACCCAGTGGAGAGAGAGCTAAGGTGGAAGGGGAAGCTCTTTACAGAGAATGCACACCACAGGCCCTCAGGATAAAACTGAGATCTCAAATAGCACTCAAAAATGAGTTTTCAGGAGAGAGGAAGTTTCCTGAAAATCCATAAAACTTGTGACAGCCATAAAGGAGGAAACAGTAAGGCTTGAAAATCAGACCAGAAACTGATGATTTTTCCCCTTCTTGTTTTCCAATACAACCGCTCTGTGCGGCGCCCCTTCCCCTCCATCAGCCTTCTCCCAGACTCCGCCCATCGCCGCAGCTTGATCCCGGGCCTCACCTCTTCACCCGCAGCCAGTCTCCTGCTAGTCAGTATGACTCGTGTGTACAGAGCGTCTCAAACTGGACGACACCAAGAAGAAACGCTGTTTTTGGCTGAGCTCTCTTAGGGAAGGACTGCTGCAGGAGGGCGGGGGAGGGGCTGGGGCCGAGCGCGGGCGGCACCCTGCCCAGGCTTCACCTTGCCGGGGCAGCCGTCCCACAGCACGCGATGGTGGAGGTTAGCATTCACTTCCGGCCCATGAAAGAAGGCCAGTGGGCTCATCTCCAAACAGCACAGGCGCTTCAGCCATCTGTCGTCAACCTGGGGAGCCAGGAAAGCCACTGGACTCTTGCACCTGGTTCTTGTCACTCTCAGTGTTTATAGACCCACACTCCTCTCTGGTTCGTTCCTGAGGAGTCGTTTTCTGGACATCTCCGTAACGCATTGAGATGTCAAGCCGCTGTTTTCTCCCAGTTGGTGGTCACAGCCAGGGAAGTTGCTTTCTTGATTTATTACATTGTCAGTAATCTCCACGGAGCCTCCACATGTCAGTAGGAGTTATGTTAAATGTCTGTTGATGGGGTCTGAATGCCCCGTATGCACCCTCTAAAGGCAGCGTGTTTCTCAGCAGGGGGCACGCATCAGAATCACCTGGGGCCCTTTTTACAAATACAGTTGCCTGGAGATTCTGAGTCAGGAAGTCTGGGGTGGGGTCTGGGCATGCAGGTCATCGGGACGTTTACCCCCCTTGTTAGAAACCATTGCAACAGAGCGACATTTGCTTCATCCAAGCATTCCTGTTTTCATAAATATTTATTTTTCCCAGCTCTCTAAGCAAGTGTAATTACTCTACAGGTGAGCTGGTACCAACATGGGGAAGATCCTCTGCTAACATCCAGCAGCTTTAATTTGAAGCTTGTGTTGATGACAGGGACCATGCCAGAATTGTACTGTCCCATACAGACTAAGATTCTTGCCGTCTTGACAACTTGGCCCCACAGAGAAATTTGATCTATGACTGTCACTTCTGAATAACATATATAAAGAGTACTCATTGATAAAAACAGTAACTAAGAACTCTTATTCAGCAAAATTAGATATTGTGCCCATTCGTCCCTCCCACTTTCTCTAACCCCTTAAAAAAAAAAAAACCTTGGGGCGCCTGGGTGGCTCAGTTGAGCATCTGACTTCAGTTCAGGTCATGGTCTCACGGTTTGTGAGTTCGAGCCCCGCGTCGGGCTCTGTGCTGACAGCTCAGAGCCGGGAGCCTGCTTCCGATTCTGTGTTTCCTTCTGTCTCTGCCCCTCCCCCACTCACACTCTCTCTCTCACTCAAAATAAATAAACATAATTTAAAAAGTTTTAAAAAAACCTTCGAAGCCACTTTCTGTGGTTAAAATGAGTATCGGTAATTTAGACTTGATAAACTTCTTCTCTTTTTATGGACAGACCCTGATAGCTGGCTTAGGGGTGGCCAGGCCGGAGGCACTTGTGTCTGTCTGGGTCGTAACCGTGTGACAGGAACCACAGGGGACGGACAGAGTGTTTGGGCCTCCACGTTCGGTTCTGGAAGTAAAACTGGCGCCACTCCTCCCGCTCTTAACCCCCTGAAAAAGGTGCCTCCTTTCTCATGCCGAGGATGGCTCTTGGGTGCAGATCAAACGGACTGAGAGTGGACCGCCAGAGAGCAGGGTGACAGTTACGGGCGGACGGGGTGAGCCAGCAGGTCTGCCGCTGCTGCCTGGCGCGGGGGTGCCCCAGCGGCCCATCCTGGATTGCCGGGGCAAGGAAACCCAGCTCCCTGTTTCCGGAATGCGAGGGAAAACGCCAAAAGGTCACAGCTGGAAATGTAATTCCTCTCTCTCGGAGGAGAAGCCTCCAGAATAAGAGCTGGCTGACGGGGAGAGCGAGTGTTTCACACTTCTCTACTCCAAGTCAGATTTCTAAAAATAAAGTCATTAGAACTGCGTCAGGCCATTTAAACAATAGCCTTGGAAACATGGACACGCGAGAAGCCGCCATCCATTTTATATCATAAATCCCAATCTTCAGTCTCATCCTCGTATTTATCAAAATAGATAGCCTCCCAGACCCTCTAGGTCTATACCTTTGGGAGATATCAATTTCCTTAAAATAAAGGGACTGCTTTTTTTGTGTGTAAATATCTTTCATTTCCCCCATCTGGAAGTGATTTCTCGGTGCATATTGGAGCATAAAGTACCACAGTTAATTAAAGCATTACTGGATGCCATTTGCTAGGGTGTATTTCCTTCCTGCTGACAGAAAACAGAACAGACGATAGGAAAGAATTCGGAAGCCTGTGAAACTTGGGCCCGCAGCGTCTCCCCTTCTCCCGGGTGAAGATGTGCCCCTTCCCTGATGGCCCAGGGAAGCGGTTTCTGAAAACACACTCGTCGCTCAGGAAGGTCCGGGCATGTCTGCCTCTAGACCTACGCCTAAAGCGTGCTGCTTCCGATCTGGAGCCCTTCTTGTGCTCTGAATTTCTATCCTGTTGACTTTCCCTTCTCCACCATACTATTCCAGTCATAGCCTGCTTTTCCATGTGACTGCAGATGATTTCTGTCCTGTACACAGTAAGTTAATCCCGTTTCCGTAATAACTGGGTGGGCACTTTGCAGCGAACCCTCGGGGAAGTCTGGTGTTTCTTTCAGCAGTGGAAAATCTCTTGCAGCACCTCCATTAGGTTGGCTTGGAGAGCCTTACCTAGTTCTTTATTTTCGCCACCTCCCCACTTCGCTAGGATACCCAGAGATCGGTCTGATGAGAAGACTTTTCCTTAGAGGCTCAAACTGCCCGCCTCTCGTCCTTGTCACCAACATAAAGGTACTGGAGAGCAGCAGGATAGGAAGAATGTGTCCATCTGAAACTAAAGCAGCCTGAGCCTAGAAATTTCTACAGGAGGACCTGGTCTCCGGGTCTGGTCTGGCACTTTGACATTGGACAAGTCTTAGGTCCTCTGAACCTTAGTTTTCTATATCTGTAAAAGGGAGTTATAATTAATAGGGCCGTGTGGGTCACAGGAGACCAGATTGTGTCCATGCGCTCTGTCAGCCATCAGGCAGCGTGAAAAATGAGGTGAATGTCCATCATTGCTCGCCTGAACCCCCAGCGCCCAGCCTGGCTGGATGGTGGGTGGCCACAGGGCTTGTTCTGTCCCCGGACTGACTTGAACAAAATGGCCAAGTGACAACATACTGTGCTGCTGTGTGCAGGCAGCATCGGGGCTGAGCATCGGAATAGCTACTCTTTGCCTTTAAAAAAAAATTTTTTTTTAACATTTATTTTTGAGAGACAGAGCACGAGCAGGAGAGGGGCAGAGAGAGGGGGGGACACAGAATTCAATACAGGCTCCCAGGCCCTGAGCTGTCAGCGCAGAGCCCAACACAGGGCTCGAACTCACAAACCACGAAATCATGACATGAAGCTGAAGTCAGATGCTCAACCAACTGAGCCACCCAGGTGCCCCAAGTCTTTGCCTTTATAGATCACACTTGTGATCTCCAACTTATTCAAAGAGTTTTAAGACTCCGAACCCTCTGTTCCCCTTGCCCGAACAGCTGCAAATTCCAGAGCATTCAGGGTGAAACCTACAGACAGAAAAGAGCTTCCTCCTTCCTAGTGGGCTTGGCTGGGCTGCCTGTAGTGGAAAATGTGGCACGTTTCCTCTGAAGGCAAATTAGAAGGGTTGCCAAAGGCTCCCTTCCAAATAAATTCTTTAGATACGGTGTCTGGTATCCATAGGCCAGACTTTAACTGGCCATTCATGGCAGGGACAAAATGCTTGCCCACTCTCCTTCCCCCACCCCCTTTCCTACGATACCCGAAAAAGTACATAAGAATATCTTGGGACAGGCAGAGGTTTCAAAGAAGTTTAGACCTTTCCCAAGGCCAGCTGAATCCCTATAACCTGGGTTTTCAATGCGCTTTGGGGATATTGATACAGAGAATGCTAAGTGATAGAGGGATATTAAAGTTAAGCAGGTGCAGCACTTTGTCCCCTAGGAATGTTTATCACTTAATCTGAGGGCTCTGGTCGCTTCTGCCCAGTAATCAAATGGAATTTGTACAATCGCCGTGCCTCCTCCCGTTTGGGGTCATTTTTCAAAAGAGAAATTAAGAACAGCTCCTCAGCAAATCTCCCTTTACTTCTGAGGCCAAGGAAAGTATTTGCAAAGGGGCAGCCACTTTCAGGGGAGCTAGGTGAAGTGGTGGAGAGAATCTCTATCTTCTTGTGTGTGTTTACTTTGCGCTGATGGAAAAGAAAAGTGGTTCTCGGAGAGAAGGGGAGCAGACCAGCCACTAGAGAGACCACATGCCACAGACGTCTGCCCAAACTAAAGCGCTGTGGCTGGGCTGCCTGGAGAAGACCCTGAAGAGCATTAGCAGGCAAATGGAAGAATAGCCAACGTCATATAAAGAAAGCAGGAATTCAAGACACAGAGACACCCCACGGCCTCATACCCAGGCCTGTTGCCTCCCTGGCATGGCTCTTCAAGGATTCACGGTGTTGGCACTACAGCTGGCTGGCCCTGCCGGAGGAGGAGGGCACCAACCGTAGGTGAGGTCCCCGCTGGTTATGCCCTGGCCCTTAGCTGCAGCCCCAGCTACTGTCTGGCAGGCAGATCATCTCTCTGACCCTGAGGGGGACCGAGGGGTCTACACACTTCCATGCTATCTGTATCTGGATGGGAACTAGTTACTATTTACTGCATCCTGAATACACAGCGATGCCTCATGGGATCAAAATCCCCATCAAGCAGGTAGGATCAGCTCCATTTTGCAGAGGTGGACCTGGAGGCCCGGAAGGCAGATGCTGCTGCCAAGGCCATGTGGCCAGCAGGGGGTGCTGTCCGGGTCTGACTCCTGTCTCCGTCTACCAATGCTCTTCGCGCTACACCTGTGGCTTTCAAATCCATGCGACCCAATTTTACATGGGACTCTCACTCTACAAGACAGAAGTATTTTATTAATACGTGTTACGAGTTCAAATAACTTTCAAAGCAAATCAGAGAGGACGCTGAAATCATTTCAGTAAATAGAAAACATTTTAAACCTAAGGCTATGGATGACACTTCATATGAATCAATCCCAGCATCCAATTCACATCTGTGTTTGGCTTTGGCTGCACAGAATACAGAAATCTTGATTTATTCCAGCTTAGAATGTGCAGCTAGTATCAGTTTTGTTTTAACAGCTCTCCTGGTAATCCCAGATACTCTGCAGTCACACAGACGTGACAAGGACACTTGATCCTGAGGTCTGCGGGCACGTGGGCAGCCCTGACGGCACAGGTTAACACACGACGGGTCAGTATCACCGGACATCAGTGCCTAGGACACATTTTAGGATGCGTGTTGTACTATTACAGTTTTGAATGTTTAGGTACTTGTTAAAATATTTATTTTTGGGAGAGAGAGAGTGCGCTCAGACAAGCAGAGGAGGAGTAGAGAGAGGAGGGAGAGAATCCCAAGCAGGCTCCGCACTGTCAGCTCAGGTACAGGGCTCAATCTCACAAACCGTGAGATCATGACCTGAGCTGAAATCAAGAGTTAAGACCCTTAACCGACTGAGCCACCCAGGTGTCCCAAATGTTTAATTTTTAGGATAGGTTTTAAATATGCACTCTTAAGCGGAAGTTAAAGTCGAAACTTTCTGGAGCTCCTTTGCCTTCCCCCCCCTCCAGAACATCTCTGAAGAAACCCAGATTTGCCCAGAAGTCAGTTTGGAAACTGCTACCCTCATTAATAGCTGCCACACATGGCTTTTCTGACCTTGGGGTGGAGTGGGGCGGGCTGCGGGGTGGTGTCACCTTTGTACAGGAGAGAGCACCATTGCACTTGAAATTCACTACCCATTTAGCAACACGCCTGAACCATTTCCCAAATCCTGTGTGGAGAACCCTGGAGGCCACCACCTGGGTTGGCCTTGCCACCTTTAGAAAGGGCGTCAGAAGGCCAGGAGCCCCTGGTGCAAGGCAGCCATGTTCTGAGGACAACACCGTGCAACTGGAAGGGCGGAGGAGGCCTGGGCACCGATTGAAGGGAAGCCCG